TCTAAATAACCGTGTTAATGACAATTTCTATTTAATTATTTTTAATAACTATTTTTTAGCCTTTTGTTTTATTTTTATACTAGTATGTAACCCGTGCGATGCACATGCTGTATTTATTTTGGAGAATATTAAAAGTTAAAATGTATTAATAAATAAAAGAGTGATAATTTGTATGAAAATTATCAAACCATAAGATGTTCCTCATACAAAAAAATATATTATTTAAACTTTTTTGTACACAACATTATTTGTTCAATAACTGCCCACAAACTATTATTTTCAACACTTTTCTATTATCTACACGCGAAACAAACAATATTTGTCCGTGACTAAAAATCGATTTCTTTAAGAACATGCCAACGTACAATAAATGTTGACCTTGACTCTTCTTGATCTATTACTTAACATGCCAACGTACAATAAATGTTGACCTTGACTCTTCTTGACCTATTACTTACACGCGTAACAACATACAATTGGTCGTGATCAAAAAAAGATTTTTTTAAGAACATGCTAATGCACATCTATTATCTATTACTTACACGTAAAAATAACAACATATAGTCGGACGTTGCTAAGAACTGATTTCTTTAACAATATGCCAACGCACATAAAGACTGACCCTGATCTTAAATGAAACCCTAAGATTAGAAGTAACTGGTGCTCTAGAAATTAAATGAAATCATATTATGGATCTTTTTATAATATGATAATTTACTTAGGCAGTCAGACAATGAGTTGTTAGTTTAATATCGATTATACTTGATTAGCTATATAATATTCACTAATATTTCTATATTTTTTATACAAAAAGACTGACCATGACTGTCAAATGGAACCCCAAAATCAGAAGGAACTGGTGCCGCTGGAACTTAAATGCAAGGCTAAGATGAATCTATTTATAATATGATAATTTATACAACATTTGGACAAATGAATTGGTGTATATCTTCAAAAATATGTATGAATAATACAAAACATTAAATATTACATCAGACTAATTTTATGAGAGAGATTATATATAATA